TGTTACACATGATTTTTGGATTATTGACTCTGGTGCCACTGATCATATAACTAATAAACCCTCTAGTCTCCACGATTTTCAAAGAACTATTGATCCAATTCATGTATATGTTGCAAATGGGAAAATGGAAACTATTCTAGGGAAAGGAAAGATTAGATTGCTAAGTGAGCATACTGATTCCACTGCTCTTTATGTACCTTCTTTTCCTTTTCAGCTTTTGTCAATAGGAAAAATCACAAAAACCTTAGACTGTCTTGCCATATTTTTCCCTCACAATGTTGTGTTTCAGGACCGAGTTACTCAGAAGAAGATTGGTGAAAGGTTCTGTTACAACCACACCCACTTTCTACTTATTAAAATGACTTCTTTAGTTTTTAATTGGAACCGTGGGACCCGCATTATTTTTATATCTTTGTTTCTAGTCTCTCTCTCTTCTTCCCTCTCTTTCCGAAACTCATCTCAGAACTCTCTCTCTTTTTTTTTTTTTTCAGTTTCTTCTTCTCACTCTCTCTAACTCTCTAAGCTCCGAGAACTCCCAACCCCTCTTCCCTTCGAATCAATAACAAATCAAGCCTAAAATTTATATATTTGGAATCCTTGAGACCTAACGAACTCAATGGTACCCTTGCATGCGCCATCAGAGCATTGTGGACTTTTCTGCCATTGAAGCCGATAGCTTTAAAGCTCTAAAACTCGAACCCAGGTGAGAAGTGTGTTCCTTCTTCAAATTTCTGGGTTTAATCACACACTGTTGTGTTGGTTTTATGGTCAAAATCGATGGTTTTGACCTTATCTCTTCTCTATGCCCAGAACCCGGTTCCGACAACGAACTCCGGCGAGTTTGTTGCTGTGGATTGCACGGATCCCTTCGAACCTAAACCCAGGTAGTTATTTTACCTTGCTATTTGTTGGTGGTACTGTGAGTGTGTGTGTGTGTGCAGGTGCATGTGCATGTGTATGTATATGTTGTGCATGTGCATGCGGTGTGTGTGTGTTTATATATGTATATGTATGTGCATGTGTGGTGCAATACATATGTGCATGTGCGGTGCAGTGCATATGTGTATGTGTGTCCGTGCATATGTATATGCATGTTGTATATGTTGTGCAAGTGGGTGTGTGAACTGTGTGTGTAGGTGTGTGATTATATATGTATGTGTGTGCATGCTGTGCATACCGTGCAAGTGGTGTGTGAACTGTGTGTAGGTGTGTGATTATATATGTATGTGTGTGCATGCCGTGCATGCTATGCAGGTGTGTGTATGTTGGTGTAGGATGTTGGGCCGTGCGTGTACGTGTTGTGGGTGTGTGCGTGAGTCGTGTGAGTGTATGTATGTGTGTTGTGGATGTGAGTATGTGTGTTGTGGATGTGAGTGTGTACCGTGTGTATGTGTGTGAATGTACGGTGTGCATGCATGTGTGTGCACGTATATGGTGTGTTGCGTGTGTGCGTGTGTAGGCGTGGGTTGTGTATGCTGTGTATGTGTATGTGACGTGAGACTCTGTGTGTGTGTGTGTGTTGTATGTGTACTGTGCATGCTTATGCATGCCGTGTGTGTGTGTGTAGTGCATGCTTATGCATGCTGTGTGTGGGTGTGCAGTGCATGTGAATATGGGTTTAGGCTTAAGCCCAAACCCCTTTTTCTCACCTATTAGACCCTAACCCACTCAACCCAAAACCCATTTCCATTTCCTAAAATTCTATCTTTTGGGTAGTTTATTAAATTGTACATTTTCGTGCTTAGGTGAAGTAGTGGAGACTTACTTAATCATTTTCCGCACAATTCTGCTGCTTCGAAGTATCTGTGAGTGGACCACCTTCAAAATTGCATGTTTTATTTATAGAATTGCATAATTTAATAGCATGTCTTGCAGAATTATTGATTTGAGGAATACTTTACAGGAAGCATGATGATTTAATTATGATTAATATATAAATATTTTAAACTATTTTCATTATATCATATTTTCTATATAACCCTCATTCTGGTAGACTATCTGATCGATGATGATAGGATGCTAAGAATGCGTTTCAAATGATTTCTGAACACCTCTTCGTAGTATAGAGGATCGATGAATTTATGCTACGAAGTTGTATTTTAGAGATGTATTATGTTTTGTGCGTACCTAGTGAACACTATGCCGCCTGGGGCGAGGATCTGGTGTTAGCATTGAGGCTGGGAGATATAATCCCTAGCGAAAGGCTGAGGGACACGGAGATAGGCATTGGGTCGGGAGGGAGATATCTCTGGCTACGGGCACAGAGACTGAGGTGCAGGCATTGGGCTGGGAGTATTATTATTCAGTGCACTCACTAGCATCACAACTTGTGTTATGCTTCCTGATATGATTTATGATATGATTTTCTGAGATTGATTTGCAGATAGATATATGAATTGTTTTATGGCATGCTAGAGGTTTCAGAAAAGCTATCACTTATTATGCTAGTAGTTTTCATTATATAAACTGTGGGGGTTAGTATGTTCATAACTGTTTTTGTATTATGTATATATACAAGCTTGGTCCACTCACCCTTGTTTTGCGCCCCCATTCAGGACTTAGGATCAAGGCACATAATCCCGGCATCAAGGTACTTCCGCAGCGACATCTTCGAGTTCTCTCGGGGTAGGACCCACTCCTTTGTTCATTCAATCTTATCTTAATTCTTGTTAGTGACTAGGTTTAGCTGTATGCTCTGAACACGTTTTGTTAATTCATTGTTTTTTTTGTAATTCATAACCCGTATTTATTTCTTATTCCTAGCTTTTGTATCAATTAATGGCTTTCGTCACCCTCGGGTGTCGGCCAACATGTGCCTATCCTGGTATTCGGGTAATATCAGGGTCGGAGCGTGTCAGGTTCTTCTTGAATGGACTCTACTATCTCTCAAAAAGCTCAGTGTCAACTTAAGTCAAGTTCAGGAACACCAACTCTAGCATCAACGCCTTGCCCATCCCTCAGAACATGTGATGACCAAGTTGTTTCCCTTTTTTTGTAAAAACACATTGGAGTGTGAAACTTGTCAAATGTCAAAGGCCACTAGACTTCCTTTTGTTTCCTCTAATTCTAGAACTAGAAAACTTTTTGAGCTTGTTCACTCTGATATTTTGGGTCCTTCTTGTGTAGAATCCTTTGATGGGTATAGATATTATGTTACATTTATTGATGACTATTCCAGAGTAACCTGGTTGTATCTTTTAAAACTTAAAAGTGATTTGTTTGATGTTTTTAAGGACTTTCACAACCTAATCACCAATCAATTTTCATCTAAGTTATATATGTTAAGATCAGATAATGGTACCGAGTACACTTCCAATAACATGAGTAATTACTTGAGCAATCATGGCATTTTGCATCAAACTAGCTGTGTTGGTACACCACAACAAAATGGTCTGGCAGAGAGAAAGAATCGAGACTTATTGAAGAAGACTCGATCACTTATGATCCAAATGAATGTTCCTAAGAAATTTTGGTCTCAAGCCCTACTCACTGCCACATACATCATTAATAGACTGCCAACTCGGGTGTTGAATACTAAATCTCCTTTTGAAGTCATGAAGGGCAGGCCTATAAACTTGTCTCACCTCAGGACCTTTGGTTGTACTTGTTATGTGCACATTCAAGCTCTCCATCGTGACAAACTCGACCCTCGAGCTACCAAATGTGTGTTTATGGGATACGCCAGTTCTCAAAAAGGTTACAAAGTGTACAACCCTAACAAGGGGAAGCTCACAGTCTCTAGAGAAGTGCGATTTGATGAATATTCACCTTATTTCCACAAAGGGTTGGAGACTAATGCAAATATGGAAGATCTTATGGACCTATTTCCACTACCTATTCCAGCAGAAATTCATGAAGTCACTCCTGCTCATATCAACACTGATAATTCTCAACTCACTGAGAGTGTAATTGATGCAGTGCCAAGCTCATCTGGACCATCAGAAGCTCAACCAAATCAGCAAGCTATAAGTGCACCAAGAAGAAATCCTACACGAGATAGACATCCACCAGTAAGGTTACAAGAGTATGTTACTTACACTGCAAGGCATCCTATCTCTGCGGCCATTTTTTATCACAGATTTTCATCTTCTCATACTTTTTTCCTTAACAAATTGTCCCACACTTTCGAACCAAGGAATTTTCATGAAGCCACATGCATGCCTGAGTGGCAAGATGCTATGACTAAAGAGCTTCAAACTCTGAATGACAACCAGACATGGAGTATGGTGGATCTTCCAAATGGCAAGAAGGTCGTGGGAAGTAAGTGGATATATAAGACCAAATTCAACTCCAATGGAAGCATTGTAAGACACAAGGCACGATTAGTAGCTCAAGGCTTTACTCAAACCTATGGCATTGACTATAAGGATACCTTTGCTCCTGTTGCCAAAATGAACACAGTGAGGGTATTGTTGTCTGTGGCAGTCAATAATGCATGGCCCTTATTCCAAATGGATGTGAAGAATGCATTTCTTCATAAGGATCTTGAAGAAGAAGTGTACATGAAGTTACCTCCTGGTCATTCAAGAGAAAATGAACCCAACAAGGTCTGCAGACTTCACAAAGCCATATATGGTCTCAAACAGTCCCCTCGAGCTTGGTATTCAAAGCTTAGTTCAGTCCTTGAAGCTACAGGGTTCAAAATGAGTCATGCTGACTCTTCTTTGTTTGTTCGAAGTAGTATTACTGGCAAATTGGTTGTGCTTATATATGTTGACGACCTAATTATTACAGGTGACAATATAAGTGAAATCAAGATGCTTAAGCAGTCACTTCACCAAAAATTTGCCATTAAAGACTTGGGGCCCTTGAAATACTTTCGTGGAATTGAGGTAGCTACCTCTTAAAAGGGATTGTTCTTGAATCAAAGAAAGTATGTTCTCGATCTTCTAGATGAAGCTAACATGATGGTATGTAAACCAGCTCGGACACCCCTAGCTAGCAAACTTCAGTGACATGAAAAAGGTGAACCTCTTTCGGACCTTAGTGTTTATCAGCGAATGGTTAGGAAACTTATTTATCTCACCATTACTAGGCCTGATATCTCATATTCAGTTAGCCTAGTCAGCCAGTTCATGCACTCTCCTACTCTAGTTCACTGGGAAATCATCAAGAGAATACTTCGATATCTCAATGGCTCAATAGGAAGGGGGATAATTATGAAGAACAATGGATTAAATCACATCTTGGCCTACACAGATGCTGACTGGGCTGGAAATGCCCTTGATCGAAAATCCACAACAGGTTTTTGCACATTTGTTAGAGGGAACCTTGTCACTTGGAAGAGCAAGAAACAAACTGTTATTGCTAGATCTAGTGTCGAAGCTGAGTATAGGGCTGTGGCAGCAACAGCCTGTGAACTCATATGGTTGAAAGGTCTTCTTTTCGAGCTCGGATTCACAAGCATGACACCTATGTCCTTGTATTGTGATAACCAAGCTGCCATGCATATTGCCTCCAATCCAGTATTCCATGAAAGGATCAAACATATTGAAGTTGACTGCCATTAATTCGTGCTCAAGTTCAATCCAAGGTGATAGACACCGTGTTCACACGCAGCCACGATCAACTTGCTGATTTATTCACAAAAGCACTACACTCTACTCAGTTTCAGCGTTTGTTGTGGAAGCTTGGATCAATCAATCCCCTTGATCCAGCTTGAGAGGGTGTATTGAAAGTATAAATGGGTTGTATGTATGAGTTGTCATCCTTACCATAGCTTGTCATTCACCTTACATCAACCTTTCTCCATGCTTGTTATTCACCTTACATCAACCTTTCTCCATAGCTTGTCATTCACCAATCACTTTCCATAGCTTGTCATTCACCTTACATCAACCTTTCTTAGTTGCTTGTAAAAACTTCTTCTTGTAATTTGGTTTTTGCTTTTCCACTTGTTATGGCAGATTTTAGGGATTGTGTTTGTGTAGTTATCCTACAATCTATTGTAGCTTTCTTTTGGCTCTCTATAAGAGTTGCCTTCACTCTCTTGTAATCTTCATAATGAAATATACAACAAATATTGAAACCAAAACTCAACAATATTTTTCCTGTTGAAATTGCTTTTAGATCTTTGTCTATGGTTCATGTGTAATTTGTAATGTTTCAAAATAACTCTAAATAAAAAAGTTCAAGTTGAAATTGTTTTACTTTATTGTCTTCGAAGGAATCTTAATTTTGAAAATTAAGATTTCTTTCCCCAATATCGTCGTTCTTCAATGTGTCCTCCCTTGAAGACATCAGGCCACAAGTGCCTATGCAACATGCCTTTGTTCGAATGCACAACTGTCAATTCTTATGAACTTCCGGCGATAACACAGAGCTGGTCCAATCTAAATGTTCAAATTGTCCTTAGTCACTCTCTTGAAGGACGGCAGATTTCTCTGACTTTATAAGCTAGATGTAGTTCAGGACCTTCAACAACAACAACAACAACAACAAAGCCTTTTCCCACTAAGTAGGGTCGGCCTATGAATCCTAGAACGCCATTGCGCTCGGTTTTGTGTCATGTCTTCCGTTAGATCCAAGTACTCTAAGTCTTTTCTTAGGGTCTCTTCCAAAGTTTTCCTAGGTCTTCCTCTACCCCTTCGGCCCTGAACATCTGTCCCGTAGTCACATCTTCAAACCGGAGCGTCAGTCGGCCTTCTTTGCACATGTCCAAACCACCGGAATCGATTTTCTCTCATCTTTCCTTCAATTTCGGCTACTCCTACTTTACCTCGGATATCCTCATTCCCAATCTTATCCTTCTCGTGTGCCCACACATCCCACGAAGCATCCTCATCTCCGCTACACCCATTTTGTGTACGTGTTGATGCTTCACCGCCCAACATTCTGTGCCATACAACATCGCTGGCCTTATTGCCGTCCTATAAAATTTTCCCTTGAGCTTCAGTGGCCTACGACGGTCACACAACACGCCGGATGCACTCTTACAGTTCAGGACCTTCAACCATCGCAAAAAATTGATAATTGAATTTTCAATCGAATTCATTTTCCTCAAAGCTTAAGAACACTAGATCCAAACTAGGCAAATACACCTCTGGTTTACTCTTTTGATAATCTGTATAGTATGATTACCAGTTGACGCATTTTCCCAACTGAGTATCATCATTCTGGTGGAAAACCACACATCTTAACCCGTTACCCATATCTCTAGCTCGATATGACAGATTTCTTGTCTGAGATGCCTCTATCTTGCCTTTTGTCCTGTGTTCATTCACTTTTCACGTGTACGTATCTTCATATACAACATTTGTATTTGCTCATACTTACTTTTCAGTTGCTAAGTTTACACTTTTTTCTCGTGATTAATGGAATGATTAAAACCAGTTTTTATTCGTTCCCTTCTCTTGTCTTGGGCAAACATATTTCTAACAATCTCAAAAGGTACAGAGAGCTACCAATTTACTGATGCCCCAAAAGGAGGGGAGTCCCTTGTACTCAGAGGTTCCTGCCAAAGCCAATGGGAGGCCAGGAGAAGTTCCAAGTTGTGTTGTTGGAACTTGGAATGTTAGGTGTACCAAACAGAAAATATATGTAAACTTAAAATGAAACAAATTTAAACTGTTTGCACCAATCGTTATTGAACTTCTAATCAAGAAATGGTGCAATGAGTGGGGTACTAGGCTACTAGCTAAGTCTTGATTCTTTTCCATGCCTTCAACGCTAAGGACTTGGATATTTCTTAGTGAAAGTCAAGATTTTAAGTATTAATTGAATAAAAATTAGTTTTAATCAATTTATATTAAACTGCGCCTTGATTAGAGGCTTAAGAAACTAACAGATTGCTTACAAATGAAATAAAAAATACTTGGAGATTGCTTTCCTGTTACCTCAAATGAATGGTGGAGGATGAGAGCATGGATAGATTTTTCAATGCGTCTGGGACACAGGTGTTAAGAGTATAATCTCACACAGCAGCAATGCATCCCAACCTCCACCAGATTAGATTCTTTCACTAGGTTGTTATGCTTGGAATGTTTGTGATTAGTTATATACTTTATGCTGAGCTGACACATATATTGGGATAGGATATTTATGTATAAATACCATGTGTATTATTCAATTGATTAATGAGAATTACAATTACATTTTTCACTCTCTCTCTACATCTCTCTTTCTCTCTCTAAATGAATTTCCCTCTCTGAGTTCTTAACTTCAACATGGTATCATCACCATCGTCTAACCGACTCCGATCCGGCGCTTCCCTCTTCTAGCAATTTTCTTGCTGTTCTTGCATTTTCTGATCTTCCAAACAGATCCCTACTTCTCTGATCTCTTCTTTTTCCTTCTCAATTTAGCCCCTCTTGCTATGTCGGCGGCAGCATCCTCTTCGGATTCTCCTTCTCCACCTCCTGCAAACCCTAATTCTCCAGCAAATCTTCCTCAGAGTGCCCTCTCCAACCCTCCGATCATGACGCTTGGCACGCAGCAGCAATGCATCCCAACCTCCACCAGATTAGATTCTTTCACTAGGTTGTTATGCTTGGAATGTTTGTGATTAGTTATATACTTTATGCTGAGCTGGCACATATATTGGGATAGGATATTTATGTATAAATACCATGTGTATTATTCAATTGATTAATGAGAATTACAATTACATTTTTCACTCTCTCTCTACATCTCTCTTTCTCTCTCTAAATGAATTTCCCTCTCTGAGTTCTTAACTTCAACAATAGGCACATACGTCATATATTATTATACAAATGCAGGGACACTTGAAAAAGAAAAAAAAAAAAATTCCCTGCACCTAACTTCTACTTGTATTGTTGTAAACTGAAAATAATAAGGAACGAAGTTACCTGAGAAAATGTAAAAGCCATTGAGTGGTGAATAATTCTTGGGATGAGTCGCGGACTAAGCGCTCTCTTTAAGACGTTTCGCGGCTCTGCCCAAAGTGTGCAAGAAGTTCACAAATACCACGTCGTCCCCAGGATAAAACAGCCCAGAACCTTTCTTCTGATAAAGTTCTTCCTTGCACACCGAAAGAACCTTCGAACTTACACCTTTTCGATATGTTGCTTTTTAAATCAATATATTAAAAAAAATTCTTCATCTACTTTCTGCTTTACCATCGCCTAACATACATCACTATAATATATATATATATATATATATATATATATATATGTATCTGTCAAGAGACGTACTAGACTTATATATATATATATATATATATATATTATAAATAAAGAAACGTTGAGGGAGTAATTGGGTTTCAAAACCGTAGCAAATCAAAACGGCAAAACAGACAAAACTGTTTGAATATGCTTAATAACATGATCATCTTCTCTATATAGAAAAGGAATCTCACATTTTATATTTAAGAGGAGATAACTCCTTATCTAATTGATAAGGCCAAAATAAATTGGCTGTTTTAAATATATTTAAATATTTAAATAAAAACATATTTGTTCCAACAATCCCCCACTTGTTTTTATTTAAAAAACTATATATCAAGCAACATATCATAAAGCTATGCATAAGTAAAGGTGTTTCTCAACTTGAACCTGTACATAGTGTTAGTGATCCAGATTATACTAGAGTAACTTATAGTTTTGAACTCTATCTCTGACAACACCACACACATAACTTTATTAAGGTGAAGTTTAAAAAGCCAGCACATTACGGCCATGTGCTTGTATCCCAGTATAGTGAACGCTCTAGAAACTTGCCCAAGATTTCATAGGAAGCGGCCTCACTTCCACATTCACATAGGTAAGACTATCAAGGATATTCCTGTAGCTTGATATCTCACTCAACATAGAGTATAGACCTTATTAAGAGAAAAAATCTCAACCTAAAAACGCTTCAGGATGTCATGCTTCTTAGGGATGGACATGGAATAATATTCCAAATTAAAATTAGCAAGACTTCACTCATATCACTTGTGACTTGTTATTACCCTTTGAACCTATTTCTTGGGATCTCCAGTCTATAGGTTGGGTTGCTATCTCAAATGACTCAATTTTCTACGGGCTTTAGTCCCATCCCTTTCGAGGTTTTCCAAACTTTTTCTCATGTTAGTCCTTTCGTCAAAGGATTTTTCCAAACTTTTTCTCATGTTAGTCCTTTCGTGAAAGGATCAACTAAATTTTCTTCAGACCGTATACGACTGGAATCGTTTTCTCCCATAAAGGGGTATCTGACAGTAGGTTTTTCAACCATCTTGCTTCTTCTCCCATAAAGGGGTATCTCAACCATCCTGCTTCTTCTCCCATCAAGGGGTATCTGACAGTAGGTTCATAAATTTTAGAAGAATTAGAACCCCCACTATTTCGAAGATTAAAAGGAAATTTATTCTCATAAAAATCAGCATCAAGATTTTTACACACAAATGGAAATCAATTGAAAATTAAGATAATAGGTATCTAAAAAAAACTAATCTTTATATTCAATTCCAAGAATCAAATAAAGAATCAGAAAGAAAAACCTTGATCTTGAAGAGGGTTTTGGGTACATCTATCCACTGAGGGTGGATAAAAAAAACACATAAAAGCACTTT